ATATGAATGAAGTATTGTATATGTTTTACAAATGGAATAAATGACATAAAATTATGTGAAATTTGAATAGTATGTGTTCTGTATAATTCTGTGATGCTATCTACGTCAATGTAATTATCAAAAGTAATGCTTTTGTAGAGAAATTATACTCAATTAAATTGCGGATTGCATGCGTAATATTATCACGCACGCATAACAAAGTTGGTATAATTTATTTATGAAGTAAAGTCACCATATCCGCACTAAATCGCACTAAAGTAAAAGCTAGTCTGTTCTAGATCTGAGATGAGGATTCTTCTTTGCAAATTCATCAAGCGCTTCTTGAGGATCTATCGTCTGTGTAATGGCTGAATGAAAGTATAATAAGGTTAATATATTTAACCGTGAGTCGACTATCCGACTTGTAAGATCTGTCAATCAAAATAGTATATATTTCTGATAGAACTAAGACCAACAAAAGAAATTACTTCGGATATTTTGACGTTCGGACAGTGTCGGAAAAGTATTTGGTCGTTCAGCTTTCAATCGCTTCAACCAACGGTTTTTCCATTATTCAAACTATATTTAAATATTTTTCAGTTTTGAGTTTTCAAGTCTTTGTGATAGATGGTGAATGATGACTTGGCATCATCACATTTACAATCAATCACATTACATGCACACCACTAACGGGGGTTAGGATTAGCCATTTTGGAACTAGGCATGTAACGGCTACGGTTAACCATAATCGTAAATAAGCACTTTATAACAGCTTAGTGTATATTTCGTTTTTAGTACTTTGATATTTGTTTACATTAGAAGTAGACAAGGATGGTCTTTGTCCAGACGTTTTAGTGCATCTGGTATAGTGACAGTCTACACTACGCTGCACAAAAACGGCTGTGTTTCCACACGGTTTCGTCCAAGTTTATATCGACTTCAAGCCGATAAAGTTTCATTGTGCTTAGATTGTAGCCCGTGTTGAGTTATACAGGCGTACATCTCGAGTTTTTAAAAAGATTGTGCCGAAAGTAGCCGGGGCAAGCTCACAAAAGTCGGTTTTTCCAAAAATTCCCACTAGGGATCAACCTAAAGAAAGCTTCGCTTAAAAATCTGAGACGGCCATCCGACAGAGCTCGGAAAGTTCTTTATAAGAACTAATTTCAAGGATTGCAACTGGCAAGGTGGCTCGGTGGCAAATAAAATACGTCAAAAAAAAAGACTTTTGCTGGGATTTCATATTTGCTATGGAATGGTCAAAAAGTAAGGAAATATCAACTTGTCTATAGTCAAAATGTAGCCCAGTGGAAGTTCTATCTAACGGAGGAAAAACAAACTCTACAGCTTTCATTGAATTCGAGTTATATGGTTCTCAACGTGTTGGCCCGACAAAAGTTTCCGACTTTGAGCTCGAGTTTCTCGAAAACTACACGTCAGATCTTCGTCAAATTTTGTCCGAGAAGACAATGCACTTAATGCTACTTGTGATATAAGTTTTAAATAGTACCTATGAGAACTTCTTGAGATCTCAAAAACCAGCTTGCTAGGAGTTCTCGAGAAACTCTTTTTCAACCTGCTTATCAAATAGAGCAGCCAATTATCTTCCGAATGACACGTCTTCGAGCTTTTCACCGCCTATGGATGTCGAATTTTGCAATTTTACTAATGTAGAATGATTTAGAAGTGTCTTGCAGTATCTCGGTCTTGTAACGTCAATTACTTTCCCGAAAATCGCCCAATAAAGCTGAAACACATAAAGTGCAGCATTTCCTGTATGTTTGAGTACCACACACGTTTGAAGTGCATCCGTGTCAATATAACAGAAGTACTAAAAGGTTATGGCAAAGACCACCCTTGTCTACTTCTAATGTAAACAAATATCAAAGAACACCAAATATACACTAAGCCGCCGTTGCATGGCTATTTGGAACTCAGCAGATTTTCGGTAGAGTTATGCCAACTTTATGGGAGTTGACTATGCATTTGGGCACCATCAACAGTGCACATAAAAGTGCAGCGGTAAAACTGCACCAAGGGTTAGGATAGTTGATAACGAAGTTGGAATCGAGCCCATTTCTGCATGAAATCAATTGTTTATGTTTATGCGAGCTTTGGATGTTTATAGAACGTCCCTTCAAATCGATGCAGCTTTGCTAACTTTTGTTTGTTTGATAATGTGAGCGCATATCAAGGACCGTACATTCACTCTTCATGCGACTGTAGTTTCATAGAGAGAAATCGTCATTAATCGATGAAGTTTACGAAATACTATAAGAGTAATGTATGTGTGATAAAAATAAGTAGGCGTAGACGGTAAGTACTCGATTCTATCCCTACACGAACGAACACTACAGCTTTGCAAATATGAACTGTAATAAATTTTGGGCATGTAACTTAATAAGAAATAGAAACAGGAGGAATTAAGATTATTTTCTATATTATGAGCGGTGCTCACTTTGGTTGTTGACGAAATTTATGAAGGAACTGTTGAATTAAAAAGTGCCCATTAACAGTAATAATAATTGGATTGTTTATCAGAACAAGACAAAGTAAAAAAACGTTTATAGTAGGATGCACCAGGTACAGTTTTTCACCAGTTAGTTGTAGTTGTAAAACTGTGGTTAACTGCGACTGTCATAAATGCATAACTGTAAAGCTGTAAGTGTCATAACTGTAGGCAAATATTCTAGAGTCAGTTAGTCTTGTACGATTTTCGTATATTTTAAGAGTGAGGACTTTCTTAAAATGTATGCAAATTGTACAAGACTAACTCACTATAGAATATTTGCCTGCAGTTATGACAGTGGCGGTTTTACACTTAACTGTAACCGTTCCATGCCTGGTTTAGAGGAATTCAAATAAAAATCGGGTCCTAGTTCACAAAGAACTGTAGTCTCCATTCGCAGGGACTGGACTAGTAAACCGTTCCTTATTTCTAGGAACATGAACTGCTGAACCGTTCCTAGTTCAGGAACGCGACCTAAAAAACAGTTCCCGTTGAAAGAACGTGAGCTATGAACTATCACAGGCCTACTACGAACAATGAATTGGTTGCACAAGTAGATCTTCATGCATCTGAACGTCGTCATCCCATTGTAACATGGTTGGCTGATACAGGTTATTGATTTTGAATATAACCCGTCTTTAACTGCCTCGGTTACACAGAACATCACTGTTCATAAAAATAAATATGCTTCATGGTCATTGTTAATTGATTTTGCGCTTATTGTGAAAGTTTTCGAACAAGATTAAAAAAAAGCTGTTTTTTGAAACTTAATATGAGATGTTCAATCTAGATTTGTTGTCAAAACTAAACCTGCAAGTGTGTCGATGTACATATGGAAGAATAATATTATCAATTATTAATGCAGGAAGATTTTAATAATTATTTCAAGAAAAAGTATTCTCCACATTCAGTAGCATTCCGTACTTTTTATTTTTATTTTTTAATTAAAAATAAATATGCTTCATGGTCATTGTTCATACCTTGAAAGAGATTTGTCCGGCGGTTCTAGCTGACGTTTCAAACTACATTATTTGGCCTAGAAGCGAGAAGCTGGGACATTATGCTTGGAATGGCTACCGTGGTAAACCTTACCGAAACCTGAATTTTTCGATAGGTTTACTTCCCAGCTGTCCTTTATCGAATGCTGAAAAGCGCAAGGTTCTAGCTCTTTTCGTTGAAAAGTTATTCAAAAACTAAAATAAACCGCGTTTTGAAATGGAGAGTAGTACTCTGCGGACATTCATTTGGAATAAATGTAAGGGTAAGCGATATTTAGTTTAATCAGATTTGCTGAGGTACGAACCGAGTATTAAAGATTTGATGATAATCTGTAATTTTGACCTCAATAATGAAGCATCGTTGTAAAAATAAAATAGTTTGATCTATGTTAACTCAGCTTTTTGCTTTACGATTATTGTTCAAATAACATTATATACACAACTGGTCTATTTTGTACGCTTCTCCTTCACTACAACATGTATCTAAAATCTTCAATCTTGTATTTAATGTCATCTAAGAACTACACAGAAAAAAAGTCAATTATGATAAACAAATTGTTTTCTCTCACGCTCAATCGGAATGTTAAACAGATTGAGAAAACAAAAAAAGATTCATTGTCTTTTTTTCTTTCCTTTCTTTTATGTTGATCAAATAAAACAGTGTTTTATGATTAACTAACTAATAAAATGCGGAAGGAAAGTCCTAGGGCGAGATTGAAATAATTATTATTTTTATTCTATATAAATATAGTAAATACATTTTGTAATCTCATAAAATCATAAAACTAAAAAATGATGGTTCAACGAGTTATCGTGTTTATATGCCTGCTAGAATCTGTTATACTTTACGAATTACGTTATAATGTCCCGTTAGATGAAACAACCAATAGCAGTTTGAAATGGGATTATGATCAATATGATTCGGAAGTTTTACAATTCGAATGGAGTGTTACGAGAGAGTATGACAGCGGTGCTGTATTAGCATTTACAAATTACGAATATATGAATAATGCTGATTTACTTGTGCTCGATGAAAGCGATCGAGTTTACGATGCGTATACAAATGATGACAGCATGATTACACTTGATAACGATAAAAATATAGACTGTCATGTTAAGAGTCGAAAAACCATACAAAAAATGAAACAAAGTGTAGTGAGTTGCAAACGACCAGTAGATACATGTGACGAACATGATTATGTTATAGACAGCGGTACGGTGCACATTATGTCAGGAAAATTGAATCAAAGACAGTTGCTTGAGATAAAAGAGAATCGATCATCACTCCACTTCGATCTCAGGAATATTAAACTGCACTTACAACGAGTACAATTGTTGAAAAGTCAGGTAAAGTGTTCAAAATTTGTATACCACATAAAGCGCTTCATTTATTTGAGAAATATTGTGCTAAAATAAAGTATTTTCTACCAATTTCATGAAAAGACAGACAATCAGAGTTAAGCAGATTTGAAATTTGGACTGTCAAATTCCGTAATTATTTTAGAGCAGGGGCCTTTTTAAACTAACAATACGTTTTTCCTATGCATCAGACATGCATTGATAAATTTAACGACATGTATCTGCATTTGTAAACCCAGAGGAGCCACGTATTATACATGAGAAAGGATAAAACCGGCATGTACTTTAAACTGAAAAGTAGTAGCATGATTAAAGTTGTTAGTAACGAACATCTGTACTTTGTTGAGTTTCGTATCATTAAGTTTGAGCTTCGCTACTGAATAAGTTTTACAATAGTATCCTGATATATTATGATAAACAAGTGAAAATAGCAGCGACTAGCGGCATTCAATCATCAGCAAAAAGAATGGTGTCAGCATGTTGTTGTGCTAAAGAAGCTAATTCGTTAATAAAAATGAGGAATAAGGCTGTCCCTAACACTGAACCTTGTATTACACTTGCAGTGAAGGGAGCCGGGAGCTAAGGGAGAGACTTATTCCCACTTGCTTTGTCGTGTTACCGAGATAGGTTTGGAATCGATGAAGACACAGAGGAGAAAGACCGAGAGTTGAAAGACGAGAGATGATAGCGTGACTGAAAATTTATACTATTGGTGAAGTTATGTAGAAGCTAGAGAAGAGCGTCTATGGTTGACGTTTTCGGATAACAATCATACTGATTGTTTGAGAAAATTCTTGATGATTCAGTGGTGAAATGGTTGAACATAAATAGACGGCTCTGCCTTTTTACTCAGAACTGGCCAAAGCTATTCGCCTAGCGGTCAACTTTTTCGTAATTGCGCTACTTTTTGCGAAGAAGAACAAGCCTTTTTCTTGTAATTGCTGAGAAAACAAATGTTCACAGATTATTTTGTGTCCTTTTACAAGTTTCAAAAACTGAATGCTCTAAGTTTGACCCGACCTCTATTTTAATAATCTTACATCTATAAATGTACTAACTGCCGAGGTTTGCTTATGATTAACTTGAAGAAAAATGTTACTCTTGGATAATGAGAGATGCTCAAACTCTGTATGAGTTTTCATCGCCACAATATAGTATAGTACAGTCATTGTGAAGAAAACGTAGCGCTCTCGTATCAAGTTTCAAAATGCCGGATATTTGTGGCTGCTGATAAAATAGCCCTAAAGGCTGGAAATTTGTTCAAAAAGATTAGAGTACGCTCTTGTTAACGCATCTTGTGTATAGTCGAAGATCGAAACTCGCTGGAAATAAGTCAATTGCTCTTTTACTATTCTCTGATCGATACTTCATGCATTCCAAGGTAATTTTTGTTCAATGTTCGAGAGATTATTGAAGGAAAAAATAAGTAAAACAGAGACTTTGAACGATGATTTTGCATTAAAACTGTATTGTCATTATCGATCACGTAATGACGCTTTATAGGAAAAGTTTCCCACGATATCCAATGATGCACTTCACTATGATTTTCTTAATTCAAATGTGACAATTCCGAACGTGGATACGACCTATTGGTGTAAAAGATTCGAGTTACCATCGGACATTGTTAAAGAACCTCATCACATAATTCGGTTTGATGGTGTTGTCTCACCTCAAAGCGAAGGTGTCGTTCATCACATGGAACTATTTCACTGCAACATACCACCCGAGAAAGAAGTGCCTGAATACAATAGACCATGTACAGCAGAACAAAAGCCAATGGGCCTTACGGAATGTCGTCGAGTCATCGGTGCTTGGGCATTAGGTGCAGCCAATTTCAGTTACCCGAAAGAGGCCGGAGGAACCATCGGTGGAAAACACCAGTCAAAATATGTCGTACTCGAAGTTCATTTCAACAACCCCGACTTGAAAGCAGGCATTATTGATCATTCGGGTATTCGTATCTATTATACACGTGAACTTCGTAAAAACGATGCGGCAATAATGGAAGTTGGCCTCGAATATAACCCCAAAAACAGTATACCACCACATCTTGCAGCATTTCGTCTGTCAGGCTACTGTTTAGGCCCCTGTACAAATGTGGGTCTACCCGAAGAAGGTATTACGGTGTTCGCTTCTCAGCTTCACACTCATCTCACCGGTGTTCAAGTGTTCACTCGTATCATTCGTAAAGATGGTACAATCGAAATACTAAATATTGATCGGCACTACAGTCCACATTTTCAAGAAATCCGCATTCTTCAAAAACCGATTAAAATCTATAAAGGCGATACAATTCTTCATACGTGCATATTCAACACACGTGAACGTAAGAAGATGACATTTGGTGGCTTTTCCATTCACGATGAAATGTGTGTTAACTATATGCATTATTATCCGAAAGCCGACCTAGAAGTATGTAAAACATCGGTGAACGATGATTCATTGAATGAATTCTTCTCGGCTATGTACAAGTAAGTGTGATCTTCATCTATAGTAGAAGTTATGTATTTAATTTTTATACTCATTTAGAGTGGATTATGCACAAACTGATGAGAATAAAACAGTTGAACAAAATTATGAATCGATAACATGGACACCACTTACAAGCGCCATACTTCAAACATTCTATGAACAAGCACCGATACACTTCTCCTGTAATGGAAGTAACGGAAACTATTTATCTGGAGAAAATTGGAATAAATACTCTGCTCAAGAACCTCTACAGCGAGACGTTTCTTTACCATCCAATTGTCGTTAATGAATGATAGTAACGAATTCGATAACCGACTGCGATTATCTCAAAACGATAAGGAAATAATTATTATCTGATTGCAAAGAACCTAAGTTTTAGAATAAATAAATGCCTGCGCTTACAATATGAATGTCGCATAAAAAATGGTTTTGTTACAACTAAACAAGAAGTCATTGTTTTCCAATTTGGAATGTCTCCTTACACACTTGAACAGGGTTTTCTAAGATAGTGACTTTCGATACATGATCTATTAATTTTTATAACTTGAGAAGCAAAGGTCGAAAAATGGAAAAAAATCTGCATTTCTAAGATATAGTTTCAAGTAAAGTACATCAAATAATTATTCATACAGTGATGACAAAAACTTTGCAAGGTTCTTACTTTCGACTAGAAATGAGCTAATGTTCTTTTTTTTACTGTTTGATAGTCCTCAATCTGAGCTAGATTCTTGCATATCCGCTCATTTCAAAGAGTTGTTCATATATCAAGAAATAAAACCTTTTTAAACTTCTTTATTTTCAAGGTCAAATAAGTGTTCAAATACCTGATTTTCTCTACCACGGCGATCAATTCCACAGAGTAATGGGTTATTGATCATTTTGTCGTTAAGTACATTTCCTCGTCTTGTTGTCCAGCCATTTTGCTGCTATTTTAAGAGCATGTCGCACTAATGAAATTGATGTTATGTCGAATATAAATATATATTGGCTTGAGAATTAAAATATAAATCTAGAAAACATTCAGAAGCTCGCTACACTCTTTCCTAAAACCCTGCATAATAACGATTCAAGAAACGTTCAGCCGAACTCTTTTCATAAAGTCTAATTAAAAGTACATACAAAAACTCGGATACTTGCCTCAGATAACAGAAAATAAGAACATCAGAAAAGCACGAATTCGCCCGTATATATTCTCGATCAGAATACACTTTTCTGTATGCAGATATCTATAAACATGCTGGGCTTGAGATGTAGGAAGAAATAGCGATGAAATGTTGTCTCAAATCGCAACTCGCATAAGATGTCTCCTCCTGTTAAGCTTGCACAGCTACAGATATATACGGATCTCGGATACAGCTGTGTATCGATCGCATAAAGTTTTGAGAAAAGTATCAGAGTTTCTTGATCAAATCAAGATAAAAGATAGTTATTCATTATCGAATGTGGGACAAAAACAGTAGGGGAAATTGGACTCATGAAATCTTTCGGTGGTGCTGGAACTTCTTCTGTTTTGTTGAAACAACTGCCATGAAAATATTGTGCCGTGATGACCGTTTGTATCAACGCATGTCTTTCTGCAAGTATCTGTCCTGTATAAATATAAATGAGATGTTTCGCCAGTCTAAGTACTTCTTTATAGGCGATTTATAACAATCTTCGTGGAAGCCCTAACGTCAGTTTTTAACTGGTAAATGCTGAATAAACATACAATTACAAATATATTTAAAAATAATTGAATGATAAAAAGCCATCAGTAACAATCTTTTGAACAACAATAAAAACATAGACTTTCTCATTTTCTCTCATAATATACAAGGACTTTGAAAATACATACAGCCTGCACATAATAGTAAAATACGGATTTTGCAAAGATTACGCAGCAATGCATTAGAAAAGCAAGGATCGGCCAGTGGACGAAATGAGAAGATTTAAGTATCAAAAATACAAAAATATAAAATAAATTTTAGATACATGTTTACTATTGCGGCATCTACTGTAAGGAATCTAGATTTCCTTTGGTGAAATTTTCTATTTATTGAATTCAGTCCTAAAATTAATCGTTTAATCCTGCTACGTCCGCTGGCCTGGTTTTTCTTGCAGTGGCTAATCATACTGAAGGAAAGTGCATTGGAAAACAAAACCAAGAAAGTGACGCAATCGATGCCACCAGTCCACTGACCAAAGTGGAAAGGACATTAGAACTGCATCTTATATCAATAAATAAATTTAAGCTTTTTTAAAATTTTTTTCTACCTCTCTAATTTATTTGAAAAACCTAGGATCTGAAAAAAGGTCTGCTTTTAGCTATCTTTTAAAAAAATGCATTTTTTCATAGTAGGTAGAAAGAGTGAAGGAATAAATCTGACATATTCTGAAAGTAAGACTGGTGTTCTACCTGTTTATAAATATAATTTTCTCCTAACTCTTTTCTTACGAAAACAATAATCTTTCTTTCTACGTTCACGGCACCTGTTTACTAAAGTGAATTTTCTAATTTTTCCTAAACCCAAATAACATAAAACTTTCAGAAAACACTTTTCTCTACATGATACGCGTACTGTACTAGTCTAACATAGCCTAAATACTTCTGGACCAAGATATGGGTCTTTCAGAAAACTTTTTTTTGCAGGTATTTCCCATTTTTCTCAGTTAAGAAACGATTTTATTCAATAAAAATATCATATTTAGAATCAGCGTACAAACCTGCATTGAATGATGTATAATTTGTTAGCTTTTCAAATAAAACATTTTTGGCAAAAAATTAATACCTCGATTTAGGTATACGTTATATCGAAATTTAACTTACGTATTATCCATGTTTGAATAACTTGTAAAAGTAGTAGAAAATGAGTACAAGTATATAACGACAAAAACTGTAATTATAAAAATGTAATTCAATGTGTTGTGTTTCTTGCTGTGAAGAGACGTAAAAGTTCAATGTATTTTCAAAGTCCTTGTATATTATGAGAGAAAATGAGAAAGTCTATGTGTTTACTGTTGTTTAAAACATTGTTACTGATGGCTTTTTGTCATTCAATTATTTTTAAATATTTTTGTAATTGTATGTTTATTCAGCATTTACCAGTTAAAAACTGACGTTAGGGCTTCCACGAAGATTGTTATAAATCACCTATAAAGAAGTAAGTGGCGGGACATCTCATTTATATTTATATATTGTACGATTTTCTCTCTTCAAGTATTTTTCTATTCATTATCTAACCTTTCTTTTCTCAAAAATAAAATAAAATAGAAAGAAAAGAATTTGTTACACAATTGTGTTCGTCTGTATGCATTTCGAGTCTTTGACTATACTATCTCTTTTCTTTTCTCTCTTTGTTTTCTTCGAGGTATTTCTTCTGGAAAAATGATCATCGGAACAGAATGAGCTGTACAATTTAATTTTGACTCTAATATTTTGATCATCAAGCTTTTCTTTATCAGCAAGTAATACGAATTTTTATCACTATCAATAACTTCAAAATTTTCCCAATTGATTTTATGTTCGGTCTCAATCTCATGTTTCGCTAAAGACGATTTTATCTTAACGTCATCATCATTCTCTATAGTATTTGCATTGTTAATCAGTAAAGATTGTGTGCCACCCATGTGAGAGGACATCTGTGACAGTTTCAACTGTTTTTCTCGCAATCACGGTGATTGACGTGGAACTAAGTACAGTTTAATAGTTTTAACTTTCTTTTTTTTTCTTAATGACCGATTGAGTCTCGTATTTTTACTGTATTATCTATCTCGGCATCGGAACTTTCATCATTCATTCATTGAAGTCCCAGCTTGGCGAAAAGGTTTTGGGGGCACCATGTTCTTGAAGTCTTCTAAGACTTTATCATTCAGTTTTTTCAACAATGTCGAAGATGATCATGCTGGGCTGCATCTCATGCTCTGCCAATATTAGAGCCAGAATTAAATTGTACAGCTCATTCTGTTCCGATGATCATTTTTCCAGAAGGAATACCTCGAAGAAAACAAAGAGAGAAAAGAAAAGAGATAGTATAGTCAAAGACTCGAAATGCATACAAACGAACACAATTGTGTAACAAATTCTTTTCTTTCTATTTTATTTTATTTTTGAGAAAAGAAAGGTTAGATAGTAAATAGAAAAATACTTGAAGAGAGAAAATCGTACAATATATCAATATCAATTATACCAGTCAGTTTAAATGAAAATCGTTTGTTTTCTGTCCATATTCTTGACAATGATTTTTTAATAAATCGAAACGTTGGGAATTAAAAATGCTTAAAACCGCTGCTTTAGTTATACTTTTCTTAATTCTAAAATGCACTAAAATTAGAAAAAAACTTGTTCGAACAGTTTTTCTCTCAATTTAGTGCATTTTAGAATGCTCAGATTTGTATCATAGATAACTCCGAAAGTTTTGTATTTATATAGATATATGTTGTACTATATGTTGTTGTAGATTTTAAAACTGATCAGCTGTTGCTAAAAGAGTTGTGTTTCTTGCTGCTGGATGAAGAGACGTAAAAGTTCAATATATTTTCGAAGTCCTTGTATATTATGAGAAAAATTACACGCAAAATAACTCTCGTTCTATAAAATAATCTTTCGAATACACAAATTCTTTTCTCATTTTGAAGATGATATAAGTAGAATTCTACATGATGATGATAACATTGGCCCGCTGATACATAATTATACATGCTCTTGTATCAAACGAAACCAAATGACGTTTAATCGTTCTTTCCCTCAGGAATCTCTAATTCTTTGCTTTGTATGGAATACAGCATAATTATGTAGAAACGATTCTCATTATCAGGTTATTTACTTAAAGAAAGAAAGAAAGAAATGTCATTTGTGGAATCTCTGAAGAAGAGACATTAAGCAAAACAAAGTTATATTACAGAAGAACTGAGTAAATCTTTACTACGGCGGTAAATGAACTGTTATAAATCTTTAATATTTCTCTATAATGTTAATTATTTTAGTGACCGAACTAAATGGTAAGAATTTTTGTTTGTAACAACAGTGTTTGCACTCAATAAGGGACAAGGACTGGGAAGAAAACTGTAACAGTTCTGAAAAAGAAGAACAGAAGCACATATCCATTTTTTTCTTCTAGTTTTGATGAAAATGAAATTTAATATCTTTCCTCTTATCAAGTGCGCATAACACAAAATTCAATTAGACGAGAACAAAAACATCTGAAACTTCTGTCATAGCTCAATATTTGATGATGTTACATTTCTGATACTCGACACATGTCTCAGCCAGCTACAACATTACTCTTACACCCATTGCTCGAACAAAACAGTAAGTTACATTCGCCTGTTATTGTTCGTAGGCATGCACTAATACCATATGTTGGATCCCACTATTATTGTATACTCAACATATTGAGTTTTTACAATATTATTGGATATTGGGTCGCTTAAGTTAAGCCTACTTTTAAGAATGTAATGATATTAAGGTTAAAACATTGCGTATGAAGAATGCTAATGCAAAACACTGCATAACTTTGACTAGTAGTCGAGTACATTGCATCCAAAATCCACTGTCTTCCAGCTTTTTAATACTTGTTTTCTATTCCTTCTTACAACCGTTAGGTGATAAAAACTATAGGACGAAACCTTCACAAAATTGTAGCTTCTGTAGGATGTGTTTGCGAAGAATCGACTTTTTATAACACAAGTAAGGCTAAAAGGTCCAATGTATTATGGCACCTAATATTATTAGATATCCAATAATATCGGGATCCAATATATTTGGCACTAATATTATTGAGCCCAATATATTAGGTACACAAAATAATATTGGATCTGAATATTATTGGATACCCCCAATAATATTGTACAATATCTTCAATAATGACTGGTATTGGTGCATGTCTAACGGGTGTCCCATAAAGAATGATCCTCTTAGTATTTTCTCAATATCGTTTGGGATTCTTATCCTTTCGGGCTGAATTTTGTTTTAAAAGATTCAGTTTTCAATTCTCTGCAAAACTATCTGGTTTTATTAACGTAAATAACCGAAATCATTTGTTGACAAACGATACAAACGATTTGTCCAACTGTTACAGCTTTCAAATACAACTTCTTCTTGAATGTTTTTTACTGCACGTTTTAGTTCTTGAATTAGGGTTGCTTTTGACTTTACTTTGTCCCAATTGATAACGTGAACAAATTCATCCCAAATGGAATAGTCCAAATGGTTCAAATCCGGACTATCTGGGGACCAATGATCCTTATCTATAAACGCAGGAAAATTGCCTTTGCACCATTGTTGAGTTAAATCGTATGTGTGTGGCCTTGCTCCATCTTGTTGAAATATCCAATCATCGCCAAACACTTGATTTTCGTATTTAAGAGCCACGGGCAGCCCTTCTTGAATATAACGAGCATGCTTTATCGTGGCTTTGTCCAAAATTACCAATGGTGTTACACCTTTTGAACACACTCCCAACCAAACCATTACTTTTTGTGGAAACCGGC